CATGGATTTTGATATCACAGTAGGGAAAACAAAAGCTGAAAGGTACATGGAAGAAAAAGAAAGGGAAAAATAAAAAATCACTTTCTTTTAGACCATTGCTGCTCAAAGCAATGGATACCCAAAATCAAATGCATCACCAAAAGGAGGAACAGAAGGGGAGCAAGCAGAAGACTGAGGCAGCAAACCAGCATAAGAAGTGTTCAGAAATGGATGCAAAGCTCCATCTTCTGCCACCATGGAAGAAGAAGAGGAGCCGTTGATAATGGCTGACAGTTCATCACCATTACTCTCCCAAACTTGCTGTTTATCCCAAACTCCATCATTTGAGCAATTTGGTTCCGCCATAACAGAGCCATAGCCAGCACTGTATGCCATGGCAGACACATCCAGCCCTTCAGAAGGGAGTGTTTCAATGGAGTTTGGGCTAAAAAAGCAGCACTTTTGAGGATCATTTGAGGCAGTGGAGGGATGGCTCTTCTTGGGTTGGATTTTTTGGGTGGAATCTGAAGGGGGTTTCAGGCAGTTATCAGGAACAATGCAACTCAAGTAGCCAGAGTTTGAATCATTTGAGAAGAAGAAATTGGTGTCATCATGATCAGGGGAGGCATTTGAGGAAGTTTGGGGAATGGAGGGCTGAGATTGAGCAAATGGGGTGGTGATGTTTTGATTGGAAATGTGGGAGTGTTGTAATTGTTTGGAGTGAGAATCAGAGGGGAGCAAAGTCTGGACATCAAAAGCAGTGAGAAGGGAGTGGAAAGTTGAGGTGTCAGAGTAAATGAAGTTGGTTCTTGCTTGGGTGCCCTTCATTGACAGGGCAGCCCTGTCATAGGCCAGGGCAGCTTCATGGGCAGTGTCAAAAGTGCCCAGCCAGTGCCTTTCTTTGGTTGTAGGGTCTCTAATTTCAGCAGCATATCTGCCCCAAGGCCTTCTTCTCACTCCAAGGAACCTTCCTGGCTCAGCCTGCTTTCTTCTCCCTCTTCTCTCTCCTCCAGTTTGAGACATTGGAGATGAGTTTCTTTGAATTAAAGTAAAACCCATTTGAGATTGAGAAGTTTCATAAACTGGGTAGCCTTTATCTGAGGCTTTGGAGGTAGCCATTAGAACAAAAAAACAAACAAACAGTACAAAATATGAAGGGAGAGGACAGTGCAGAAGAGAAGAGGGAGTTCTTTTTGGAGGTTTTTGGGTTTGGGATGAAGGTTTGAGGCAGCTCTTGAAGGTCTTTTTAAAGAGTGTGAGTTGGTGAAGGAGAAAAAAGGA